TGCAGAAAACTCCTATGAGAACATAGCATATAGATATTCAAAGTCCAAACTGGAGAGGTATTACTTAAAGTCAGATCAAAGGGGGATGGATGCCTGTAGGCCCCTAGAAGCCAGGTCAAGGGCACATGGGGGCTCAGTCAAGTGTTGAAAGGTGGGAAAGAAACCAAAGGGAGAAGGACTGCTGGGTCAACAGTATGCCAGCTAAAAAATGCAACTACTAGCCTCTACATTGCATCAGGTCCTGGCGCAGATAGCAGTATAACGTAAAGAAAACAGCACTGGTAAAGGTCTGTGTGGTTAAGGTACTGCACTATTTTTCGCAGCGCAATTTGGAGAAAATATATCTCAGTGTAGTGGGAGAGGAGAAGATTGTACAGAAAGTGCTTAGGAACAAAACACAGCTGAAAAGGCTCTTTCCCCCTCAGGAGGGGAAATGCTTCAGTTTTACAAGTTACACAGTTTTACAGGTTCAGCATGCCTACACAGATACATCCTGTGGTTCAGCACCACAAAACCAATCTCAGCACAAGTAACCCCATGTTACTTGTGCACAGGGGTTGGTCTAGGACATATAAAACTCCTAACATGGAGCAAGATACCACAGACATAATCTTTATTTTTAGGATAAATCACTAAGCATGGTATCAAGACCATCAGAGCCAAGACATAAGCAGGGTGTATGAACACCACAGAAAACATTTCAGTGTCACAGACAAGATGCCTGTGTCCTGTCCGGCCACTGCCATTTATTGTTGGTGACAATTTTGGCTATGGGAAGTTGCCAGCTGATGTTACCAGCCAGCCTGCGTTTCTCACTGCAGAGCATTATCACCACCTCGTGTTTGTGACACTAAACACAGCAGTGTTGCAGCTGCAGTACATGCACAAAATAACAGTTGCCAAGAACAGAGGAAAATAGCAATCATTGTGAGTATGGTATCAGCTTTTATGTAGTTGTGTGGCATTTAGGAAGTTATTTTCCCCTTCGTTAGTGCAAATAGACTGTGTTTATCTCTACAAGAGATGAAGGGACTTGCAACGGCAAAGCATGATGTTAACTGAATACCAGTTCGATCCTCTAAATTTTGATAAAGCCTTGTGCGTTAATAGGGAAGGAAAATGACATTAATGGAAAACACAGAGATTTCAAGAACATCGATGGGATTCTGGAAAGAGAGCATCAACAGAGGTTACACGTACTAATGGAGAAATCAAGAGGCTGCCTTGGAAACACAAACATTTACAGTCCACCATTGGTGCCACTGCTTTAGAGGACGGTCCCCACAGACTGATGCAGCACTGCACCAATTTATCCAGCCTATAGTCAATTGCAACTATCGGGTTTGTATTAATTGCTGATTGCTATTGTAAAACATGGAAATTGTCTAATCATCTGCAATGGTACTGAGAGGAGAAATGAAATTGGGCAGATACATGAAGGATCAAATAAGCAAGCAGATTCTCATCCATTTAGCCTTCGATTTTAATGTTTGTTTATCATGTAAAACAAATGTTAACAAGACTGATAGAAACCTGCACCTACTGGATTGCAGCTAGCAGCTGTGAGGACTGTCAAGGGAGGGAAATACGGGCAAAGGATAAGAATTTAGATTTTGTGGTATGAGTGTTACAGATCGGTGTAACACCAAAGCAGGACAGGAACCAGGAGCAGTTTTTGGTTAACGCTGCCTTTGCAGTTTGGTGAACTGCAATTTTTGGTTAATGCCACGTTTGCAATAATGTTTATGCTGACATGACATGCTTTTAACCTCCCTTTCACCTGCCCCACTCAGCAACAGCCCATCACAGAGTTCGTTAGTCACAATCCAACGCGCAGCATAACACCAGCGACCTGAGCTCCTGCAGATGCAGCCTTCAGCTCCCAACCTCATTTTATTCTTCTCGTTTCTAATTATTAGCTAGGAGAATCAGAAGATCATAGAATCATAGAATGGTTGAGGTTGGAAGGGACCTTCAAGACCATCGAATTACAACCCTCCCCGCCATGGTCAGGGACACCTCCCACTAGACTGGGTTGCTCAAAGCCCCATCCAGCCTGGCCTTGAACACCTCCAGGGATGGGACATCCACAACTTCTCTGGGCAACCTGTTCCAGTGTCTCACCACCCTCTCAGCGAAAAATTTCTTGCTGGTATCTAACCTAAGTCTATTCTCTTCCAGTCTGAAGCCATTCCCCCTCATCCTATCACTACATGCCCTAGTAAAAAGTCCTTCCCCAGCTCTCCTGTAGGCCCCCTTTAGGTACTGGAAGGCGGCAATAAGATCTCCC